GGCACAACTGCAGAGATGAACATTGGTACGAAGTGCATATTTATTCCACACCATGCTGGTGTGAACATTATCAATTGATCTAGGATTTAAGTGACCCGTCTGGAATGCTTGACAAACAAATATTCTCATGAATTATACATATTAATGATAACTATAATTAATGGCAGGCTGGAAAGAGGGCAGGTATTTCCATCACCTAGGGCTGAGAGCTCTGCACATTAGCAACACAACGGTTCATTGAAGCAGGTAATGGATTGGACTATGACCACAAGAAAAAAATCATTGTGGAAATAAGCATGATTATTCATATAGCATAATACTGTGCTAAGTGGGCTTAGCTTAGGCAAGACATCAGCAATAGTGCATTAAATACACTCGGGCACAGATAGCATGTCTGCAAGTGTACTTAAAGAAACTCACTTATTTCTTTTTTCAACCCATTCATACAAGTCACTGCAGTTGTAGTTTGTAAAAGGAGTTTTAGAAATTGTATAAGAATGGGGGAAAAATAAAATCAGGAATTTCATCTGTTCATACAGTTACAGCAACTCACATAAGAAGATTATGGAATCAGCAGCTCACAGCTCAATGTCTTTGTGAACAGGTCCATATAAAAATTACAGGTAGCAGTCAGACTGAGTCTAGAAACATCTACCTAACCTGCAAGAACTGTTCAAATCTACTGCTAGGACTATGACTTTGAGGGTTATTGTCAATACACTTCTCAATTGGTCAGATCACAAACATCCTAGGACTTCCTAGGACTATGCATTGAAAGCTTCAGAAAAGATTTTTAGGTTAAAAGTAGAGGGTACTACCACACACAGAAAAAAGAACATCTTGGTTTTGAAGCCTCTTCAAGTGTCTGCCTAAATTCTACTTGATCCATTGCAGCTTGCACATTGACATAGGTTCCTATTTTAACCTCTCAGAGTAGCTATTATTCGTGGGAACCAACAGATTTGACTCCATTAACAGTCAACCTCAAATAGCTGCAAATATAGATCAGATAAGAAGTCTCAAACTGCAGGAACTGCCAGACAGCCTGAATTAGACAAGAAACAAAAGGCTAGGGAAGATACACATACTAGCTCCCCTCTGACCTTCTTAAAAAGAGCTTAAAAACTCTTGTAAGCTTTGTTTCTGTGCATTAGTCTTCCTTCTATTCCTTCACTCCAGTGGATGGAGTGCAAGTGTAGTACACTTCCACTGTAGGCAAGATGGAATGCATTTGGAAGAGTCATCCCAGGACTACAAGGACATCAGCTCATTTATCTCAAATGGAAAGTCTTATATCACTGTGCAACCTGGTCATTACATGTCAACTGGATACACAAATGATACAAAAAATCAAAGTAGCCTGGAAAGACACATTCTCAGAATTAAAGAAAACAAGAAGATATACAGACAGATTATTAAACCAATAAATATTGGAAATGTTGTCATGGGAATGAAGGAGTTAATATGACAGCGTGCTCCAGACAGTGGAAGGAGAACAATGGTGCAATGAAGTTGTCAGTGATGCCTAAACGTAGGCTAAAAGATGGACCCTGTGCGTGGACCGGAGAGGTGGTTGAATAAAAATCCAAAACGAAGCAAAGTTATCCAAATCGTTTGACATTAAAGAGGAGTCTTGGACGTTAAGCAAAGGTTGTTATCAAAAGGTCGAGAGAGAACTAGAAATTAAGATCGAAGGGTTGAATAGCTTTAGCTGAGAAATGTCCCAATATTGAGTGAGGACTGATTGAGGAGAGAGGGTTTAAAAAGGAAGAAGTGTGGTATCAATAAGTGCATGAATATGTGCGGTGCGGAGTGCGCGTGAGTATGTGGTGATGCCTGCGTGCTCTCGTGCGATTTCTGGCAGAAGTGGCAGAATGCACACCAAGAAATGAGACACAGCTGAGAAGATGAGGACAAACATGCTGTTTCTTTCCCTAAAACTTATCTTTGTTAAAGTAACGCAAAAGACCGGGTGCTCTGTTTTATCATTTGGGTCTTACCATGCTTTAAGTATTTTAGTTGTTTTTATGTTTTATTTTTTGTTCTCTGTTCTCAATTAATGTCAAAGCTAAGCCAGATTAAGGTGGTTCCCATCAGAATAAAGTTGTACAGAGGTACGCCAGCACAGTGACAAGACAACATCTATACAGTATATTGTATTTTGGGCTAAAGCTTCACAATAATGGCCACATGTTTACATGACAATTTGAGTGCATATTACAGAAATAATTCATAAATACCCCAGGCACTTCCACCTTGAATTCCTGTGACTAACACTGCTGATCTCTAACAATCCTGAGTGCATGTGGATACTGACTGAATAGACCATTATTTTAAAATGTTAAGCATTTTAGAATAAACCAAAACAAATCAGCCTGTAGAATGTAATTTTGACTTTAGTTTGACTAGAACATGGTAACAATAATTTGAACTGTTTCAAAACAAGTTGTTTTTGACTTTTGGATTAGCTCACACCTCACACTTGAAGAAGGCTCCACAGATGAAACGTTGTGTTTTCTCTCTTCTCTTTTCAGCATGGAATATAACTATTGTATGCCCACCTTGTCATGCTTTTGGGTACCATTTTAACTAAAGGTGAGATAGCAACCTCACTGACTGTTTCTTAGTTACTTGGTCTTTTTATGGACAATGAATGACGAAAATTAATAAAACCACAAGCTAGATCATGTTCAAAATGAATGGTTTTGGACTTAAGCAGAAGTTTTCTTTCTTGAAAAATACTTGTTGTAAAAAGAGGCCTAGGTTATGAATGTGCAAAGCTAAAAAACGAGAATGTGTTTAGCTTTACACATTCAAAGCTAAAAAATAATCAAAGTTTACTTTTGACATTTCGACTACTCTATAGAATACTTTGATAGCTTCTCCTTCATCATTTTGACAGTTCCAAATGAGATGTTATAGTCTAAATATTAATATTGCCTTGAAGCTCAGGAAAGAATGAAAGACCATTGAACAAAATTATGGTATCCCACAGTTACCAAAATCATCCTCATCTTCATTTTATATAAACAAACACAATCCCAGTCCTTGTATGTTGAAAATAAAATATATTACATGAAAAATAGCAAATTTATGTGAGATTACTTAACCTTATACAAATTTATCAATAAATCAAATCAATGAATGAAATTATTTTTAAAAAGTATATAATGTTTATGTGGAACCTAATGATCTTCTATCACGGTACATATACTTCACATAGCACCTTTTCAGCCCTGTGAAGAAATCACAATTTAGCCTTTAAATATTTGCTTTTAATGAGTTTCTGAGTGGCTCAACATGTAAAGCCTGTGAACTTGCAATTCTGTCAATAAGACCCACATCACTCCCCCCAATCAATGCTAACTCTGCTGTGGGACTTGCAGTATGAGAAATGGTCGGTGGCTTTCACAGAGTGCTTTCAGCGGGAAGCAAGCACATTCCTCATCTCCCTAGTGCTGGTACAACAGAATAGCACTCAGCTAAGTTGATTGAATGCTGCTGATCCCCATTCAAATATAGTCATATTGAAAATGATTAAAAAGACAGATAATTGGTATTTTCATTGCATGAGGTTTGTCTATTGAAATGTGTTTTCTTTTTGGTGCAAATGGAAAATGATTCCTGTTTCCACCTTTCTAAGCAAGACACATTATTAACTATTCATTTATAATTTCACTAAACTTTGTCATTTTTTTGAAGGACAAAATGTGTTTTGCTTTGTTTTTTGTTTCAAACACAACACATCATTTACTGTGCCAGACAACTCTGGGAGGAGCTGTTTCAAACTTACAAGGCAGACAGACATCGTTGAGCCTGGGTACTTGTTGCATGTACGTCTGTTGTACCATATAATGTGAGCTTCTTATGTGCGTATAATGAGAAAAAAGACCATTTCACTTTTATAATGCACTGTATCCATATCTTTACAGCATGTCCAGACAGAGTTTTTTCTTGTTTGTGCTCATGATAGATACATTTTTAAGTGTACTGCTGTTCCTATTGCTACATTAATTTCACTGTCTTGAATTTCCTTTCAAAATAAAAATAAACCACAAAAATTGCTTGATTTTTAATAAGGGTTTATTCTCTTGAAGTGCCAAGGAAAACCTCCTCCTGCAATACATATACAGTAATTAAGTGTAGCCATTTATAATCACTGGAATGAAATAATTTCAGTTTCATCTAGTAAAACAATTTCATAACTTTTCAAGGGGACTGAATAAAGTGTGTTTTTTAAGTTGTATATAATTATTTAGAATAAAACATTATAAATTATTACAAAATTCTTCACTATATGAATATTTGTACAGTATAACCCTTTATTTCTACTTGAGTTTTACTTTCAGCAGTTTCATTTCCTTTTCTTGAATCATGAAATTTGTAGACATGTCGTTTGAATGTATTAGCTGCAACATGCAAAGACAGTTACTAAAACAATCAGTTATAGCTGATGTACAGCTAAGGATTATATTTAAAAATGTAACATAAAAGTCATATATTACCTCTTAAAACTACTATCAATAATAGCATGGTCCCTCAGACCGCAATCTTCATATTAAAAAGAAAAATGTGTCCCTTAATTGTCTGACCGTGTCAACATCCAAGAATACATTTTATAAACTATAAAAAAACTTCCCTACTAGTATAAATCTGTATTCAGCGTCCACCCATTCATTCCCCAGCAGTGTTTCAGTGCTTTAGAAATGGGAGATATTGTAGCTTCTTGTAGTTCACTCCAAGGGCAATGTAGAAAACAAAATCCGACATTTCTAAAAACTCAGGAGACTCACACTTATAGAGCTTTAGAGTTAAAATAAGAAGGAACAAATCATCTTTGGAAGAAAAAAAGTAGAAGCAAAACAAATAAAAAAGCCCTTACCTTGCGTGAGACACTCGGCTAAATGAATTACTTTAAGATTGCATGTTGCAATGAATCTGTAGAGGTCTTCAGTTTTAATTAGAGAATTCAAGACATCTTTTATCAGACTGTCAGTTACCTCTCTGCAGAACGGGAGTCCACTTTCTCATTTCTCTTCAAGGCTTGGTGTGGACTCTCTTGGTCTGCAGCTTCATTGCTTCATCTAAAAAAAGACATCTTACTAGTAAATTAATTTCTAAACTCTTGTCATACATATGTAAAATTGATTAAAAAAACAAAACAAAGAAAGTGGCCTGTTTATGTTATTTTTTGCAGTATATTTTAAAGTGAACATAGTTCTAAGCAGAGAATTGATTTTAAAGGGTACATTCTGTCAGTGAAATAAGGACAAAAATATTATTGACTAAAAATATTCATACACCTATTCCATAAAAAAATCTCTTCATAGGTTAATGGTGTTAAAACACATATATGCTAATTAGGAATATTATTTCAAACTAAAACAGCAGGTTACTGGATACCAGATCAGCTAATAAAGATACAGGTACATACACTACATAAATATTCATACTGTATATGTAGTATGTATTTTACATATATTTATTTTGTTGCTTCTCTGTAGTGTTTGTATACGTTTATTTATTTTTTTATTTAAATAATTAGTGTAATTGTGTAAGTGTTCTGAAAACTACAAATGCAGGCATCTATCAACTTAAATTATTTTTGAGAAATTGGTATTTTTATCTTTAAAAAATATATAACAAAAATAAAAACACGACCAGTTCAATTCCATGGAAAATTAAAAATAAAAGGCTATCAGCTAAAAAGTAAAAAATATATATATTTGTGCTTCCTCTTTCCTCAGATGTAATACACTAGTTCACTAGTTCTACCTTTTGTTTCCCTTTCATTGGAAGTAACTATATAATTTTCTGCAAAACAAACAAAAAGTATTTTATCAACCATAACATCATCATAGTTTAAAAAAAAGTCTCAAGTCCTTTTTCTTAAAAAGGCCATTACTTAAGAAATGAAGGTGCTTTTTGATAATTTTGAAATATATTCCAGTAAACTGTGCTCTTTTGCTGTGTTGAGAAATGTATTACTTCCCCTATTCATTTCTTTCTGTTTTCTAAGATCTTCTGAGGGGAGAATTATTACATGACATGACAAAAAAATAGTTTCATATACCACAAAGGTTAAAAGCTATTTTAATTTTGTTTCTTATTTTGGGGCATAGTGTTGTTTATATGGCATTTGCACACACTTGTTTTTATTTTCTTCCAATTTTAAGAAAAATAATAAGCAGTTGTAGTAATTTTAAAACTAAACGTTACAAACACTGTCCTACATAGAAGAAAAGTCCCACAAATCAAAGTCCTCTAACCTAACAATTATTTTCTAATGGAAGTCATGCACTCAAAGTGCTAAAATATTCAGGAATAGTGATCTTGTTAAGTGCCATGCAATATTTTCTTTTCAAATAACGCAGTTTATAAATGGAGAAAAACAGATTAAAGATCACTTCATGTGAAGTCTCTTTAATGTGCTGTAGCAGCAGTATAAAATAATGTGTTAACCAGACGCCTTGCTTCTGCTGTAAGTAAGTTAAATAGAAACATCAATGCATAAAAACTACAATTCTGTCTTAAAATCAGTCTGCTTAAGGTTGTTGTCCAACTGTGTTGTCAACAGGCATGAGCCCAGCCGTATCAATGCTGTTCTGCAAGTCCTCAGCAAACACAAAACCAACTTATTATTCATCAATGAAAATCTAGCACCAGTTCTGAGAATCTGATATGGATTTATCCAAGGTTGCAATGAACTTTAACTTGATTGGGAGACCATTGATGCATTTTAATATCTGACTGCTGCATTGATTTTGAGTTCTCAGACATCTCTTTTCATTTCAGATCACCCGATTTAACTAATTAAGAAGCGGCGCAAACAGGCCCAACACGTCAGCTGTCCTTAAGAGGGACCTTTCCTTTTCACAGCTCTCACTTGCAAAGAAAGCTGCTTTGTCTTTTGTTTCTATTCAAACTCGGTGGAGTCAATTGTTCAAAGGAAGAGCAAGGTTTTCCTTACAGCGATTTTCTGTTTCAGCAAAAAAAATACAAATACACAATTCCCCAATAGTTTTCATGACAGTTAATATGAATCATTACAGATGTCTAATTGTATTTGATTTTTTTTCCCCCTGGTTCTTTCTTATTTCACAAAGCTTTGAAATAATCTTTCGTGAAAAGTGTTTTCTAAAATAAAATGTGTTGTTCTAATTTTATTTAATCGGTCCAAAAAGGCAAGAAAAGACACTTGTACAATAAACTAAAAAACTCAGCACTGGTTTATTTTATGTGCCTTCGATACTTTTTCTCTTTTTCTCCTATTTTATTGTTGCTTTCTTACTTTTACCCTTTGAGTCCTGCTTTTTTTTTTCTTTCTGGCCTTTTCCATTGTTATTCACCCTGTTTATTGCCTGAAGCAGCCCTGACATACTGGACATCATCTGAAACCACAAACGACAGGATGCAATAAGCTGGAGAATAGCAGTAATCTGAGGAAAGTTCTTCATTCACTCTTGCTCCTAACTCTCTGTCTTCTTATCCTACATAGAAAATAAAAAAATCAATACCACCTCACAGAGCTTGATAAAAGCGCTGGACGAGTAGAGCAGGCACGCTGGATATAGTAAATTAAAGTGATCAAAATTTTCCAGTCGACTCAGCCTACAGCCTACATAAACTAACAACCCTGTCTGCAGACTGCCTGTCATGATGCACACTTTCTATCTTCCTTTCTTGATTTTCTTTTGTATTTGTAACAGTGTCTGCACTTCTTTCTTTTTGTCTTAATGGTTCTGCACTACAGTATATATCCACAAATATGTGGACTTATGTGCTATATATTAAGTTGTTAACATGCACAGGAATAAGTAGAGATACATAAAATTTTGGAATTATATTTATATCACTTGAGTGTTGACAGAAAACTCCCAGAGAGAAAAAGTATATGAGGATCTGATAAATGGCTTCTACATATTATCCATAAGGTTATTTTAACTTTCCAATGCTGTGGCTTTGTCTTACAACAGCAGTCCCTGGTTTTATTATGTGTTTTCTCAAAAATGCCTTCGCTGGGACGGAAGTTAAGGTTCAGTTTGTGTTCATTTTCTTTTATTTTCATTTTTCATCATTTCTTTTTAAAAAAAGCTTACCCTCATGTCAACATTTCGACACGGAATCTCTTTGTCACCAGTGCTGCGAAAGTACACTTCTCTGTGGCCGAATTGACACTACAGCCATTAGCATACAGTGTGCATCATTAATTGCAATGAGTCACAGGGATGAAGGGTTGCCTTTAATTACCAAGTTAGCCACTTCCTTGAAGTTTTTAATAACCTTCCCTATTAATGCAGGAGGGACATGCTCACATTTTGTTTCGTTCCCACTCTAATGCCGGATCCCCTGATGTGGTGTTAATGTTAAATCACACAAGGGGCACAGCAGCACTCGACCAGAAAGGTACTACTGTTAACATTTCAATGACAAGAGCAATTTACAATACAAGACAGGAGGGCAGGTAACCGAGAGCCTGAAAATAATGTTCAAGCAGGGAGAGACAAGATGGGACAACGAACGGTTCAAGCTATGGAGCTCTTGATGTAATGTTGAAACAGAACCTACTCCAGAATGTAAAACAAAATCAAATTAGGAATTTCTTTTTCCCTGTTTTACATTTGATTATTTCAAAAAACTCTATTATTATTCAATATACCTCACTATTATATCCTTCAGAGCACCTACTGGAGAAGCTGGTATTACTGCAACTTACACATCTTCTGAAAAGTTTTGAACTATCACCATTTTTCCTTGATGTAATCCAAATGGGCATTAAAGCATGGGCACAGACCATGCACAGCTCCACCTCTGTGAACTGACAGGTGCCTATAAACTGCCCATCCCAGTCAACAACCAATGGGACAATATGCTAACGCTATCACATGGTAGGGCTGGGAAAAAGTGCTGGCAAGGACCTGAATACCTACTGTATGCATCACGACCAGGATTTCACAGTATTTCTGACAGATGCAGCCACCAAATAATTCAATGCCCATGCACATGCAGGCAGCAGAACCTGCGCTCTAAGAAAGGGTCTATGGTATGGCCTTGCCTCTAGTGCAGTAAAATACCATCCTTCTTCTGTGTGGTGCAATACCCCACATTTTCTTATGCTATGGAAACTGCATCCACAATGCAACTGGAGAGGCACAGTTTTAACAGGGCCCGACTCAGCATCCTAGGCCTTCCACAGAGCAAGGCTTGTTCAGATGTTGGCCCTCATTCAAGGTGAAGGCACAAAGATGGAAAGGCATCCTAAGGGAGGCGGTGGACCCCCAGGAATGCGTAAGAAATCTACAGACTTCACACCAGAGCAATGCAGACAAAATGTCTTCACTGACAGGTAATGAAGATACCTGAAGGAGTAGCTGACGAAAATTCAGTCGTCACAGACAAAATGTGAAGACCAACCATCTACAAGGACTTGAAAGGTGCCTGAGTGAGATCATAAAGGGAAACATTGATGTAAGAGAGGGAGTGATGATCAGTCCAAGAAAGGCCCACTTGCAGTTATATCTATTGGGTACGTGCACTCATGCAGAAACACACAGAGGTAACTCCGTCATTTCCTGTCACAAACGAAGTGGGCTTGTTAACTTATTTCCCCTCAGGAAAAGGAGCCAAGGTAGGGCTTCAGGATCCTGATTTGTCTAATGCGGTAGGGGTATAAAGATTCAGTAGCCATGCCTTGGCAGCGATATCCCATTGGTTGGTGTCTACTCATTAACATTAAAGGGAAAGGCCATTACCCTTCCCATTTACTGTCAGTTTTATACAGGCTTGCTTCCTTTGGAGATATGCACAAACTACCACTACCAAGCACTGGCCTTTTATTCTAATGAGACTCTGTTAGACTGAGTACCTCTGTGTGCTTAACAATTTAGAATCAGTTTCTTTACAAAAAAAAAACTAATATTTAAGCCACAAACACAAACTCCCAAAACTTAAATATGTTGAAACTTCTCAGTTCATTCATTTCACTTTTATGTTAATGTTAAAGCATGTATCAAAACTGCAAAGAAGTGTCTACCTCAAATTTGTAACAAATAGAGTCATTCAACACTGTGACAGCTTAAGGAAT